ATCCTTTCTTCTGCTTGATCAATTCGGCTATTAAAACTTGTGTTTGCTTCAAGTAGTTCTCGTGCTGTGTTTTTCAACTCCAGCAAGTCGTTTATGTTCTTCTCTAAGCTGGTTAGTCTAGTTAGCATTTCGTCTAACCTTTTTACAAGGTTTTTAGTGTCTTTGCATTGGATTAGAATGTGCTCCTTTAGCTCAGAAAAGTTTGCTATTACCCACCTTCTGAAGCCTGTTTCTGTCAATTCATCACACTCTTTCTTGGTCATGTTGTGTTCCCGTGTTGATGAGGAGCTGTGATCCCTTGAAGGAGAAGAGGCGTTCTGGTCTTTGATGGTTTCATCTTTTTTTGCACTGTTTTTTTCCCATCTTTGTGGTTTTACATGGCTCTGATCTCAGGGAGCTGCTTGATGAGGTCCCTTGTCTGCCTGTCGAGATACTACTGGGTTTCCAGGGACTCCTTAAGGTTACTAGGTAGGCTTCTTGTGTGTTTTTGTTTACACTGGAAGGCTAGGCCCACCTCTTCCACTGACCTGGAGGTGCTGCTGGGTGGTCAAGAACACCTTCCCGTTGCTGTGTAGGCTTCCTGTGTTTTGTGTTAAGACATGAAGCCTAGTCACGCCTCTTTAATTGTGGGTTGTGCGTTTTCTCCATGGAACTGAATCATTCAGGGTTCAGCTCAGACTGAGGCACTGGCTGCGTATCCCACTTGAGTTAGTGCTTCAGCCCTCTGGGGTTTGTGGGGTAAGGTAGGGACCCACCCAGCTGCACCATATGTCTCCCTGCTTTCAGCTCCCTCTCTCTCTGGTCATGGGGGAGGGATTTGCCCAGCTGCTCCATCTGTCTTCCCACTTTCAGCTCCCTCTCTCTCCAGGCAGGGGGAGGGGGTGATAGCTCTGTCCACAGTATCTCCCGGTCGGCTTATGGGCTTATGCACTTGCTTCGATATGTGCAACAATCCGGGACACTGTCCTGAATTATTATTAAACTCTGCACTTGTAATTCCCAGCACTTGACTGGCAAAGATCTCCTGCTCTGTGGATTGCTGAGGCTTTGGGGAAAGTGCTGTATCTGGATTGGGGTGCCGAGGAGGAGCCTCCAACTCACCAGTCAGATGCACTTTCTGGGTGAAGCAGCACCCCTCCCCACCTCCATCTGCCCTGTCTGGGCTTTGCTCACCATCTGACCAGACCCATTGAAATGCACCTGGTACCTGAGTTGGAGCTAGGAGATCTCTCGATTTCTGTGTCTCTCTTGCTGGGTGTTGTGCACCAGAGTTGTGTCTATTTGGCCATCTTGTTCCACTCTTTGGTAATAGCTTATTATTGGTAATCTTGATTGCTTGGTTAAGATGGTATCTACAGGATCCTCTACTTGTAAACTCTATTTTTTCCATTTGCAATTTGTAAGTATCTTATGGGTTCATACTTTGAGAATATACATATCCTGTTTCCCCTGAAACATGTGTCTACTGATTTTGCCATTATTGATGGATAGCCTAATAGCCAAGTGTCTTGGTGGGAGATTAGGATGGAACCCTGGGGCATGTCACAGGGAAAAAGTGGTAAGGCCTTGACATCCAGGAGCATCACGAGGGATACTAAAATACTTGGCAGGGAGTGTCTCAAAGGAGTAGAGGGGACTGTGAAATTCAAAAGAAAAACAAAAAAGGATTGACATCAGTCCACTAAGCCATTGATTTATGTCATAGTCTGAAAAAGGGCCAGCTTCTTGGGTTGGAAAATTTCTTCCAGACGCCTAAAGCTCTCTGGCTATAATTCCCACCTGTACATAAGATGGGCTGCTTGCAGACTAACAGGCTCTTAGCACTAACACTCTGCTCTGTTGCCCAGGCTGGAGTGCAGTGGCACAATCTCCGCTCACTGCAACCTCCACGTACCAGGTTCAAGCAATTGTCTGCCTCAGTCTCCCAAGTAGCTGGGATTACAGGCACCTGCCACCACACCTGGCTAATTTTTGTATTTTTAATAGAGATGGTGTTTCACCACCTTGGCCAGGCCACTCTTGAACTCCTAACCTAGTGATCCACCTGCCTCAGCTTCCCAAAGTGCTGGGATTACAGATGTGAGCCACTGCACCTGGCCGCACTAACACTCTTCTGGAAAATCATGACAGCGTGAGTTGGTCTAATGATCTCAGTCATGGTGGACCCCTGGGGCCCTTTTCTCACCTTGCACTTACCTTGAGCAGGCAAATCCATCATGCAGAATGGGGTACCCCGGATCATCACCTCTTGCATGATGATGGCAAAGCTATAGACATCTCCTGCAAATGAACCTAACCTGCTGCCTCTTGGGACTCTCAACAGTTCAGGGGCAGTCCACAGCAGCTCTGAAAAGAAAGCATTGTGTGATGAATGCAGGGAGGATTAACTGACAACATCTGGAATGCCCTCAAGGGCTCTGAGCATGCTGTTTTATTGACTGCCTTATATTTTTATTAGACAGACTGCCATGCTAGTGCCCCCCACTCCCCTGGGATCTGAATCTATCCTTCTAAGGAATTATGAACAAAGAAAACATACTATTCTCTAAACCCCAGGACCATGCAGGCAGACACAGCAGCAATGTGGGGAAGGGCACAGAAGCTCAGAGTGTAGAAACTCTCTGGTGTTTGCTTTCTTGAGCCTGCAAGTAGCAGTTGGCAGGTTTCCAGGGAAAGGCAAGTGTGCTACCACACTGGTTGCCATGGATTTGCTGTTTGCTGAGATCTTATGTGTTTGGTAATTAGATTGTGCTGGGGCTAAGAGATTCACAAGTTGCTTTCTCTAGGTCTCCTCTAAAAGGATTAGAAGAACCGCAGCCTTCCTGTTCCTTGCAGTGCAAAAGGTGCAACAATTCCTTCAACTCAGTTCTGCAAATATTTATTGAGGGTCTACTATCTACGAGGAACTGTGCTGGGTGCAGAGGTGTTGCCAGAGATGAATCAAACTTGAGCAGTTCACAAACCATTAGGAAAGACAGACATACATGCCCCTAACTGCAATAAAAGAGAGACAGTGATGAGGGCCACTATACAGTAAAGGGAAATGAATCAATTGAAGGCCAAAGTTAAACACACATTGTGTGCTCTGCTGCATTTCATGCCCCATGGGGGGCAAAAGATTATTTCTGCTTTCAGAGTTTATGGCAGTGACAATGTCAGAAATTTTTCTTGGGGGGGGCACTATAAGCAATATATAAAGAAATATATTTTAACAATATAAATACAGTATTCAAAAGCTAGAAGAAGAGTGTTTTAGATTGAATTATATAAAGTTGCCATTTCTGTGAATCAAAAACAGGTAGATGTCCGCCATTTTTCAGTTTCAAACTAATAAAAAAAGAAAAACTGAGCTGATTAAATTAATCCAGGAGGACTTCCTGGAAAAGTTAAATTTTAAATGTGCTTGTTAGGAAGGTCAAGGATGCAACTTTCTGGAGCTGAGAAGGTAAGGGCTTTGCAGAGAGAAAGAACATTATGTACAAAAGAACAAGAGGCAGAAAGGAGCAAATAGTGGGTGGTGGCGGGGGTTATAAGCAGATTAACTTGGCCAAAGAGAAGGGCTCTGTTAAGGAATAATGAGAAATGAGAAATGGGGTTGATGAAGTGGGGGAGGGTGGGTGGCTGGAAGAATGGGGGCAGAAGGTGAGAGGCCCTGAGAGCCAAATGAAGGCATTTGGAGTGAATACAAAAGGCAGTAGGGGTGCTGGAGCTGGAGAGGGAATTGATGAAAGCCCTGTTCGGGGAGATTAATCTGGCAACCTGCACAAGCTGGACTGAAGGAGAAAGGCTGCAGTCAGGGAGACCGCTAGGAAGTTATTGCAGTAAGAGTGGGTAGTGAGGTGAGAGGGGCCTAAATGTGGGTGGGGGTAGCAGCAGCAACGCAGGGACCCAGATACATTGGAAGGCTACAATGGAGAAGGAAGTGACAGGGCTAGGGATAGGCTCCCTGTGCCTTGAGAAGCAGAGGAGTTGGAGTAAACAGCAAGGTGACATCCAGATAGTGAGTTTGGAGACAAATGTCTGCTATGGGTGACGGTGTCGGGGGAAAGTGATGGCTAACTTTTCATCTTGTTAAATGTTGGGTATTGGGAAGAGAACCCAAGAGACAAAGTCCTATGAAATAGGAAGGAGGGTGAAAGATACGAGATTATTTTGGTTTGTTAGTGATACCCAGGAAAGAGAAATCCACCATGGAAATTCTTATTTTCAGCCACTCCTAATCAAAATGGTAAAATAAGAAATTCCAGCTTCACCCTCAATCATGTACCCATCTTCTCTCTTTGCTCTTTAAGTGTCCCCAGCCTTTGTCTCTCCACCAGGCCCCTCCGAGCTTCCACCCACCATCCACCACTCACCCACACCCATGAAAGTCTCCAACACACTCACATAATGATTTTGTCCCTATGTCTCCCTGCCTAGGACAATTGACATTTACAAATAAAATGGAAAACAATGAATGATACTTGAGTGATTGAATGTCAAAGGAACACATTTATAGTCATGGGATTTTAGGCTCCATGGTTTTGGAGAGGAGTGCAAGAGTGAATATTTGAGAGGAAAAAAAATGGCATGTGGCTGCTTCTTTTTGGCATCCTTTCTCCCTGCAAATTTAAACACACAAAAAGGGAAAAGAGGGCAAAATTCTCTGGTAAAAAGCTGGGTGATTAAATAGAATCATTTCCAAATAGTATTTTCAAAGAGCACTTACATGTATGTTGTTAATGGCTAAAATGAGGCTTTTCTGCACTATACTTATATAATTGAGAGTGGACAGTAATGAATACACTTACAACCCACCCCCATTTCCTCACCTCCACTTAGAACCAAGTAACAGCCACTAACTACCATTAGCGTTGAACTCTTGGGAAAACTAGAGAAATTACTTTGGCTTGTTTTTTATCTGCTGGAGCCAGAACTAACTCAGGTTTGCTAGGGTGATAGAATGGACTTTGGAGAGCCACTGCGGTATAGTATAAAATGACACAGGACTGGAAGTCTAGAGACCTGGGTTCAAAATCGTAGCTTGGCCACTAAGTAGCTCACCTTTCTGAACCTTGGCTTCCCTATCTATAAAATGGAAGTTGAGCCAGATGACATCCAATGACCTTTCAGTTATAAGATTATTTTGGCATTATCATCTGTGAAAGGCATTGAGAAAGGCAAAGCTGTTTCCTGCCTTCACAGAACTTGTAGTTTCGGTGGGGGCAGAGAAGGCTAATTGAATGAGTGATACTAATGACATATGGTATCACAACAAAGTTAAGGGCCCTGAAGGATCATAAAGAGGGCAACTTAGCCCAGCATAGGGATTATGGAAAGCCTCTTGAGGCAATGGTACTTAAGTTGAGCCCTGAAGGAGTAGAATTCAGCCAGACCCAGTTGAGTATATGAAAGAATGGGAAGAAAAGAGCGTCCCGGGCAGAGGACATAGCTCGTGTGGAGATTTGTTACAAGAGACAACCTGTTGTAAGTAAACGCTAGAAGGAGTTCATCACAGTCAGAACATAAAGGCAGAGGCGGGGATGTGGTTAGCATAAGAGGTCAGCAAGTTCCAGGCCATGCAGGGCTCAGCTCCTAAGCCATGTAAAGGAATTTGAACTTTATCCTCAGAGCAATGGGAAGCCATTCAATAGATTTAGGCACAGCTGTTACATGATCAGATTTGCAGTTTAGAAAGTTCCCTCTGGCTGCAGTGTGTGAAGAATGAACTGACCAGCCATACTGCTGCTGCAATTTGGAGAATGGAGTGAAATGATAAGACAGACATAGTCCCTCCAAAATCACAAAACCAGAAAAGAGAGCCCACCCTAAGGCTAGATTTTCTTAAGTTTCAAAGCTGCCAATCTGGAAACTAAATGGAACTCTTGAGAAGCTAGGTATTGCGTTTTGTAGAGAGTTGATTTTGACAGAATGATAAGTACTCGCCATCTGTACAGGATAAAGGCTAGACTTCAGAAAACCTGAATTTGAAGACTTAGAACTGCTGCTAAGTCACTGCAGCAAATCATGAGCTCCAATTGTCCCATCTGTAAAAGGAGAGAATTGACTAGATGACTCCCTAAATTTAATAATCCCCAAGTCTTACAAAGAGCAAATATTACGCCACCAGTGACTGGATTGTCTGTCTATGCATGTGTCTCTCTCTGTGTGTTTTTCATTCCTTTTTCTTTTATCCAGAAAATTCATCAGTTTTAAAATGCATGCCAAAGATCATTTTAAGAATATGGATATATGGTGTAGTTTTGCATCTCTCTCTCTCTCTTTTGGGCTGTTTGTTTTTCTGTCTTATTATGTCACTCTCTCTCTTCTTTATGCTTGCAATATTGGTTAAAACATTTAATGCCCACATTTCCTATATGTATTTCACGATATTTGTTCTCTCTCCTTTTTTTCTGTCTTTCTCATCTATCAGCTCATTCTTCCCTGGTTCTCACCCCATGCACCCCCGATCTCAGATTTCTCCTATTTATTTAATCTGTTATGACTCCTACGAGCATTGTTTAGTGCTATCATTGGTGTACTAGATAGAAGACAAAAACACAAAATGGACATTGTTGGTGTGAAAATTGATGATATGAATTGGAGTTATCTTGTTATAACCAATTAAATTGGAGTCCATAGACCACAGGAGAAAAAGAAAAGTACTTGGGGCACAAGTGCCTGCCCAGTGATAATCATGCAAGCCACATGCCAAAATGACCTTCTATAATCTTAAGATCAGTTTTACCTACTAGCTGCTGAAACAAACTGTCATAATCCTCAGATTAGTTTTACCTACGGCCATCACTTACCAATCAGAGCTTTCCTGCTCCCAAAAACTTTGGTAGTACCATTGAGTTTTCTTTAAAAACAATATATATCATTTTACTTTTCAATAAAACCTCCAACCTTTCTGTGCTCTTTGGACATACCAAGGACCACCCTGGTCTGTATGCATGCCACAAATTGAAATTCTGTTTTCTCAAATAAAATGTTTCATTTAAAGATTTCTCTCTATATTTTTATTTGACTTTGACACAGGCATGCCCATTTATTAGCTAAAAGGCCATAGGTCTATCTGAAGCCTTCCCACATAACTAACCCATAGAGCATTTATTTACTGAGAGATCACTCCTCATTTCTTCCTCTCTGACAGAGACAGTGCTGGTATGCTGTAGTGACATCCCATTCTAAAATGTACCTTGCGGGGGTCCAGTTTCCAAATTACCCTCTATTCAACTTGACAAGTATTTATTGAGCACCTACTGTGTGCCTAGTGCTCAGCAAGTTTTTCCAGGGGCTGCTGGGGTCTCCAAACAATACAGCCTAATCCTGCCACAGCAGGAACTGAACATTATTACACTGGCTTTGTTCAGAAAGCTGGGCTGGGCCGAGGTTACAGCAGGCCTACTTCATTCAAGTCCCTTGTCTTGGAAATGAGACTAGATTTTCAACAAAAGTGGAGAGTTGAAATCAGCCTAAGGCTTTAATTCAGTGCATATTTTCATTTGAACTTTGGAGTTACTTCGTGTGCATCAGAAGGTACAATTCATTGCTTACCTTCTACAGAAGATTCCTCTTCAGAGAGTCTCAGCATTTCTAAGATGTCGTTAAAGCCATAATCTGTCACTTTTAGTACAAAACGCCCATCTACCACACAGTTTCGAGACTTTAGCCTCCCATGAACAAACTCTCTGTGGTGTAAGTACTTCATGCCCTGTAAATGACAAAACAGGATTTATTTAGCAACTTATTTAACTTTTTATGCTTTTAACACCACTTTCTGAGATTGTTAACGGCATGTACTATTATGATCCAGAACTCAGCTTTTTGCTCTTCTTTGCTGACAAAGTAAACATTTGACAACATGAATCAGTTTTCAGATCCCTTGTAGCTCTAAAATTTTATACTTTGATGAAGAATGACATCTTGTGTGTGCAGAGAATTATGTGTTACTAGGAGATTTATTAACATTCCAGATACAGAATGGATCCATATACATATAATTGCCAGGAATTTGGATATTTTGATTTTCCCCAAAAGTCTAACCCACTCTCATCCATTATTGGCAAGAATGAAAACTGGGTCAAACTTGTTCATGGGCAATTTGGAAATAGCTATCAAAATGTAAACTATGTGTACTCTATGATCCAGGGATTCTACCTTTCCCCCAGAGAAATGCTTGCATGTATACACAAAGAGACAAAGAGAAGAATGCTTGTTGTACCTTTGTTTTTATAATAGTATATAACTGGAAATGCACTAAATAAGAGACTGGCTAAAGTGTGGCACCTTCACACTAGGGAATATTCTGCAGCACTTAAAGAGAATAAGATAGATCTGCACGTAGCTGACATAGAAACAACTCTAAGCCATAAGTTAAGTGAAATACAGTCATTGCAGAACTATGTGATAGCATGTATATTTAAAAAACAAAAATGTCATCTATAATGCGTATAAATACACATGAAATTAATTACAAGTTTGGTTACCGAATTGTTAGCAGTAGTTAACTTTGGGAGGAAGTAGGAAGAAAGAGGGTTGAGTAAATGTCATTAAAAATCATTTGATTTTTAAACTTAATATATTATTTTTATAATTAAAAATAGGCAACCAAAAAGAAGAAAGCTGTCTAGTACTGATCACTTGCTTGGCAGCCTTCATATGGTGTTCAAATGTGACCAGGACTCTCGTTCAGATGGGTTTAATCATTCTGCATATACATACATTCATATTCTAGTACAGTCATTTCAGAATTTTGTTTGCTAAAAGTCCTTTTAAGTATCTGGCTCTTTTGCGGTGGTACACCCCTTTGTACTTGGATGCTTTTCACTCTGTGCTCTTGGATAGTCTGCAGTCTTCAGTACTTCTAAGCAGAGTCTACAGTGGGCAAGATTTCCCCCATGTTGTCTAACAGTTGCTTTTCATTCATCATGGCACTGAGAGGATTGTCATTTAGAAATCCCTTAACTCACTGGGCTTATCTTATAGTGTGAGCAGAAAAAGTACTAGATTAAGAATCAGGAGATTTGGATTTTATTATCAGCCCTGCCACTTAATAGTTGGCTGAGAAATATTTATTGAGTACCTACTATATGTGCCAGACACTATATAACAACATGTACCTCATTTAGCTTCCCTGAGCCTTTGTGAAAGGAAGCTAATCACACCTATCTTAAAGAGAATTGGAATGAGAGAATGTCTTTCCCTTTCAAGGCCTGTGAAAAAGGAATAGGCTAACAGAAAAAGGTGAAGACTTTGATTAATAAGCAAGAAGCCCAAAAAGTCATTGAGTATGCAGATCAGCCCTGTAAAAAATGCATATGTACACAATTTGCATATCATTCCATGGTGTTCATGGGATCCCCAGAAGTTCATCCATGGACTAATCTATGAACCCTACCTTGGCTGTCAGGAGTCTTTGGCTCAGACAATAAAGGTGATGCCTCATAGATCCACTGGTCTTTTGGTTTTCCAGCGGCGCTGAGTTCCATGTATACATCTGTGGTATGTAAAGACCTATCACCTAGTTCTAGACTTAGCCACCTTTTAGAAGGAGGTAGGGCTAAGCAGCACCAAATGATCTGGGAATGAGCACTTTCTCACTTCTACAAAGCAGAGAAATTGGATAAAAGAAAGACTGGCTAAAGCCAGAAGAGTGCTCAATGGCAACAGGAAGGAAAGAAAAATCTGACCTCAAATTGGGGAGAGGACAGGCAGACCTTTTCTGTAACTATATCATATAACAGATATGGACAAAATGAGTGTGAGGAGGGTGGTCGGGGCAAAATGGGAAGGAAAGTGATATAGTTTGGTTGTGTCCCCACCCAAATCTCAACTTGAATTGTATCTCCCAGAATTCCTACGTGTGTGGGAGGGACCCAGGGGGAGGTAATTGAATCATGGGTGGGTGGTTTTTCCATGCTATTCTCATGATAGTGAATAAGTCTCACGAGATCTTATGGGTTTATCAAAGGTTTCTGCTTTTGCTTCTTCCTCATTTTCTCTTCCCACTGCCATGTAAGAAGTGCCTTTTGTCTCCCACCATGATTCTGAGGGCTCTACAGCCATGTGGAACTATAAGTCTAATTAAACCTTTTTCTATTCCCAGTCTTAGGTATGTCTTTATCAGCAGAATGAAAATGGACTAATATAGTAAATTGGTACTGGGAGTGGGGTGTTGCTGCAAAAATACTTGAAAATGTGGAAGCTACTTTGGAACTGGGAAACAGCTAGAGGTTAGAACAGTTTGGAGGGCTCAGAAAAAGACAGGAAAACGTGGGAAAGTTTGGAACCTCCTAGAGACTTGTTGAATGGTTTTAACCAAAATGCTGATAGTGCTATGGACAATAAGATCCAGGCTGAGGTGGTCTCAAATGGAGATGAGGAACTTGTTGGGAACTGGAGCGAAGGTAACTCTTGTTATGTTTTAGCAAAGGGACTGGCGGCATTTGGCTCCTGCCCTAAAGATTTGTGAAACTTTGAACTGGAGAGAGATGATTTAGGGTATCAGGCAGGAGAAATTTATAAGCAGCAAAGCATTCAAAAAGTGATTTTGATGCTGTTAAATGTATTCTGTTTTAAAAGGGAAACAGAGCATAAAAGTTAGAAAATTTGCAGCCTGACAATGCAGTAGAAAAGAAAAATCTACTTTTTCAGGAGAAATTCAAGCTGGCTGCAGAAATTTGCATACATAGCAAGGAGTTTAATGTTAATCTCCAAGACCATGGGGAACATGTCTCCGGGCCATGTCAGAGACCTTCTTAACAGCCCTTTTCATCATAGACCTGAAGGCTCAGGAGGAAAAAGTGATTTCATGTGCTGGACTCAGGGTCCCTGTGTTGTATGCAGTCTAGAGACTTGGTGCCCTGTGTCCCGGCTGCTCTAGCCATGGCTAAAAGGAGCCATCATAAGGCTTGGGCTGTGGCTTCAGAGGGTTGAATCCCCAAGTGTTGGCAGCTTCCATGTGGTGTTGAGCCTGAGGGTGGACAGAAGTCAGTAATTGAGGTTTGGGAACCTCCACCTAGATTTCAGAAGATGTATGGAAATGCCTGGATGCTCAGGTAAAAGTTTGCTGCAGGGGCAGGGCCCTCATGGAGGACCTTTGCTAGGGCACTGTGGAAGAAAAATGTGAGGTCAGAGCCCCTACTGGGGCACTGCCTAGAGGAGCTGTGAGAAGAGAGCCACCATTCTCCAGATCCCTGAATGGTAGACCTACCGACAGCTTGCATTGGGCACCTGGAAAAGCCATAGACAAAATGCCAGCCTGTGAAAGTAGCCAGGAGGGAGGCTGTACCCTGCAAAGCCATAGGGGCAGAGCTGCCCAAGACCACAGGAACCCACCTCTTGCATCAGCATGACCTGGATCTGGAGTCAAATGAGATCATTTTGGAGCTTTAAAATTTGACTGCCCCAGTGGATTTCAGACTTGCATGGGCCCTGTAACTCCTTTGTATTGGCCGATTTCTCCAATTTAGAACAGCTGTATTTACCCAATACCTGTACCCCCATTGCATCTAGGAAGTAACTAGCTTGCTTTTGATTTTGCAGGCTCATAGGCAGAAGGGACTTGCCTTGTCTTAGATGAGACTTTGGACTATGGGCTTTTGGGTTAATGCTGCAGACTTTGAGGGACTGTTGGGAAGGCATGGTTGGTTTTGAAATGTGAGGATATGAGATTTGGAGGGTTCAGGGTGGAATTATGTGATTTGGCTGTGTCCCCACCCAAATCTCAACTTGAATTGTATCTCCCAGAATTTGCATGTGCTGTGGGAGGGACCCAGGGAGAGGTAATTGAATCATGGGGTCTGGCCTTTCCATGCTATTTTCATGATAGTTAATAAGTCTCACGAAGTCTGGTGGGTTTGTCAGGGGTTTCCACTTTTGCCTCTTCCTCATTTTCTCTTGCCACTACCATGTAAGAAGTGCCTTTCACCTCCTGCCATGATTCTGAGGCCTCCCTAGCCATGTAGAACCGTAAGTCCAATTAAACCTCGTTTTCATCTCAGTCTCAGGTATGTCTTTATCAGCAGCATGAAAACAGACTAATACAGAAAGTAAGGAGTGAAATGATCACAATGATCTGAGGAATATAAAATATCCCAAAATGTTAAAGTTCTAATCTACAGAGAAAATCCAAAATTTCCTCAGTCTTCCCATTAACCTTGATGAGATCCAGCAGGAGTGATGATTTAAACATCCAGTCAAGTTTCACATCTTGATTTGTCAGTATGTCTTCTAGGCTCCCTCGGGAACAGAATTCTGTCACAATGGCAAACATCCCCGAATCATAGAAGAAACCCAATAAAGGGTTAATATTCTCATGACGCAAGTCCTTCATCTGGAAATGGGAGGGAAAAATAAGAATGTTCAAAATCAAGGATCTCTGTTTCTCACTAAGATGCTAGAGAAATAAGAATGAATTAAACCAAAAATAAGCAGAAAGGAGGAAATAATAACAATAAGGGCAAAGTTCATTTAGAAAAACAGACAAGGCCAGGCGTGGTGGCTCACTCCTATAATCCCAGCACTTTGGGAGGCTGAAGCAGGCAGATCATGAGGTCAAGAGATTGAGATCATCCTGGCCAACATGGTGAAACCCTGTCTGTACTAAAAATACAAAAATAAAATAAAAAAAAAAGCTGGGCGTGGTGGTGCGTGCCTGTAGTCCCAGCTACTTGGGAGGCTGAGGCAGGAGAACTGCTTGAGCCCAGGAGTCAGAGGTTGCAGTGAGCCGAGGTCACGCCACTGCACTCCGGCCTGGCACCTGGTGACGGAGTGAGACTCTGTAAAAAAAAAAAAAAAAAAGAAAAGAAAAAGAAAAATAGAGAAAATGTAGAGAAAATTAACAAGATTGAAACATTTTTCTTTAAAAAAAGTAATAAAATTAATAAATCTCTAAGAAGACTGATCAAGAAAAAAGTAAAAATCATTAATATCTAGAATGAAAGATGTGGTATCACTACAGATCATACAGATATCAGTAAGATGAAAAAGGAATTTATAAAAACTTTATGCTAGTAAAGTCAATAACAAATTTGACATTTCTTGAAAAGCACAACTTATTAAACTTGGCACAATATGAAATAATAATCCTAGTAGCCCTATATTTAGTAAAGAAATTAAATTTGTTTTCAAAAACATCCCACAAAGAAAATCCAAAGACCAAATGATTTTATTGATGAAATTTATTAAAAATTTACATAATAAATATCAGTATTACACAAATTATTTTAGAAAAAAGAGAAAGACTTCCAAACTTGTTTTATGACGCCAAACATAACCCTGACTGACATTAAAAGTACAGACTAATTCTTCTTAAAAGCACAGATGCAAAAATTCTTTTAAAAAATTAGCAAATATCATGCTTTTCTCCCAGTGCCTGATGTAGGTGACAGGGGACATGGAGACAGCAAACCACCAATGCATATGTGTACCTATGCAACAATCCTGCAATATCTGCACATGTACCCCAGAACTTAAAGTACAATAAAAATAAAAATTAGCAAATATCATCTAGCAATATATTAAAAAGATAATATATGATGACCAAGTGGAATTCATGTTGGGAATATTAAGATGTGTTTAATACTTCTTTTAAAAACTATGTGAATTACTTGTTAAGTAATAAATTTAATAAATCTCTAAGTTAACAGAATAAAAAAGCAAAATCATAGAATAATTGCAATAAGCAGTAATATAAATATAAAATTTATTTATGATTAATAAATCATAAAAACTCGGAAATGTAAAAACCTCCAGGTAACATCAAACTTAAAAATAAAACATTGATTTCTTTTTTTTTATTGCATTTTAGGCTTTGAGGTACATGTGAAGAACATGCAAGATTGTTTCTTTTCCTCTAAGGCCAGGAACAAGGCAAAGATGTCTGCTCTCACCACTTCTATTGAACATGTATAATAGCATCAAAATGTTGATAAGAAAAAATAAAGATAACTTAAATAAATGGTGACATATACCACATTAGTGGACTGGAAGACTCAGTATTGTTAGGATGTCCATTTTACCTAAATGTCTCTATAAATTCATTGCAATCCCCATCAAAAATTACAGAAAGCCTTGTGGAAGTAACAGACAGGCCAACTTCAAATTTTACTTAAAATTTAAATGACTTACAATGTCCAAAACAATCTTGAAAAAAAAAGTTGGAGGCTTACACCACCTGACTTTAGGATGTACTCTATGGTTACGATAACCAAGGGAGTGTGCTATTGGCATTATGCTTACACTAATGAGTGAATGAGACAGAACACAGACTCCAAAACTACATGCACACATATTTAGTCATTTAATTTTTCACCAAGTTACAACACTAATTCAATGAAAAGCCTTTTAAAGACAATTGTTACTGGAACCCTGGGTATCTATATGCAAAAAAAGAACCCTGATCATTGTCTCAGTCTGTACATGAAAAGTAATTCAAAATGGATCATAGGCCTAAACCCAGAACCTTGAACTAGAAAAGGATTTCTTAGGCCACCAAAAAAAAAGGAAGAAAGAAAAGAAAAAGAGGAAAGAAAGACAGAAAGAAAGAAGGAAGGAAGGAAGGAAGGAAGGAAGGAAGGAAGGAAGGAAGGAGGGAGGGAGGGAGGGAGGGAGGGAGGGAGGGAAGGAAGGAAGGAAGGAGGGAAGGAAGGGGGAAAGGGAGAAACAAAGAAAAACAAGGAGAGAAGGGGGTAGGACAAAGGGAGAGAGGGGGGAAACTGAGGGGAGTTGGAGGGAGAAATAAAATGATAAATTGGACAATTGGACTTCCTTGAAACAAAATGTTGCTCAACAGAAGACATCATAGACGAGTCACAAATTGATAAAAATAATTACAAAATAAATAGTTCAGCAAAAACTATCCAGGGTATATAAAGGATGTCTGTAATTAAAAAGAAAAAATCCCAATGTTTAAGAATGGGCAAAAACATGAACAGACTCTTCACACAAGAAGATATACAAGTGAATTGTAAACACATAAAAGGGTGCTCAGAAACTTTGTCATCAGGAAAATGCAAATTAAATTATAAGTTGCCATTTCAAGCACACTAGAAAGGCAAATATCAAACAGACAAATGTTGCTAAGAATTTAGAGTCACTGGAACATTTCCAATGGGAATGTAAAATTTCATAACTGATTTGGAGAACAGTTTGGATGTTTCATATAAAGTTATACATACAACTACTCTATGACCTGGTTCTATTCTTATGTATCTACTCAAGAGAAGTGATATATGTTCACAAAAGACATATATAAAAATCTTCATAGTTTCCTATGAAAAGATGGCCAACACTACTAATTAATAGAGAAATGCAAATCAAAACCTCTTAGAGATATCACCTTAAACCCATTATGATGGCTACAGGAAATAAGTGTTGTCAAAGATGTGGAGAAATTGGAACACTTGTGCACTGTTGGTGGGATTGTAAAATGGTGCAACTGCTATGGAAAACAGTATGGAAGTATATAGAAAATATTAAAAATGGAACCATCATATTAGCCAGCCATCTAACTTCCAGTTATATATACAAAAGAATTAATAGCAGAGTATCAAAGAGGTATTTCTATACCCATGTTCCTAGCAGCACTATTCACATTAGCCAAGAGGTGGATGTAACCCAAACATTTATCAATGAACAAATGGATAATGTACAATGGACTATTAGCCTTAAAAATGAAGGAAATCCTGTTACATGCTACAACATGAATGAACCTGAGCACATTATGCTAAGTGAAATAAGACAGTCACAAAAACACAAATACTATATTGTTACACTTACATATCTAAAGTAGTCAAATTCATAGGAACAGAAAGTAGAGTGGTAGTTACCAGGTGCTGTTGGAAATAGAAGAGGAGAGATTTGCAAGATCACATTTCCAAGATGAAAAAGCTTCAGATTTGCAAGATGAAAAAGTTCTGGAGATACAGATATGTTTCACAACAATGTGAATATGCTTAACACTGATGAAATGTGTACTTAAAAACGGTTAAGATGAAATCTATAAATTACTTTACGCAGTATGGCCATTTTCATGATATTGATTCTTTCTAAACATGAGCATGGAATGTTTTTCCATCTGTTTGTGTCCTCTTTTATTTCCTTGAGCAGTGGTTTGTAGTTCTCCTTGAAGAGGTCCTTTACATCCTTTGTTAGTTGTATTCCTAGGTATTTTATTCTCTTTGTAGCATTGTGAATGGGAGTTCACTCTTGATTTGGCTCTTTGTTAGTCTGTTATTGGTGTATAGGAATGCTTGTGATTTCTGCACATTTATTTTGTATCGTAGATTCAATGCTATCCCCATCAAGCTACCAATGATCTTCTTCACAGAATTGGAAAAAAAAAAAAACCTTAAATTTCATATGTAAC